CTCCCATCCAGCTGCCCTCCTTTATCCGGGGGCCGCAAGATGCTGGAGCAGTCTTAAGCGGGGGCCGGGGGGGATGGCAGATTGGATGTATGTTTCAGACAGATTGCTACTGCCTGCAGTGCAGAATGAAGTGAGCCTGGGGGCTGGGAAAGCAGGAGGCGGCTCAGGTCCTGGCTGGGACTAGGGTGGGGGGTGAGGGTGGAGGGGAAGGGATGAGGCCAGAGAGGTTTGGGAGGTAGAGCTGATGAGTCAGGTGGGGTGACTGAATGCTGGGGATGAGGGAGGAGGAAGACTGAATAGGTTGCCTGGGTCTCTGGTTTGGTACCTGGGGTGGAGGCTGTGCCATTTGCTGAGACAGGCAGGGAGGGGGAGGGTGGACAGCCAGTGGAGGGCAGGGAAGGAGGTGATGTGCCTGGGGGGCTGCTGAATCGGCTACTTGTGGGGGTGGGGCTGGCCGCACCTGACCACAAGCCCCCTGGGCCCCTCCATGCCCAGCCCAGCCCTGCACCGGATGCCATTAACTGCCACGTGGAGCCTGGGACGTCCCAGAGCCGAGGAGGGAGTCAGTGATCCCTGAAGGTCCGTGGTGGCCAACAGAGACCTGGGTCTGGCTTTCAGGCTCTCGGGATGTGCCCATTGAGTTGGGTGACTCATGGCGCTTGCCACTTCCTGCTATTAGAGCCGCTGGCCCTAGGCCCTCTGGCCCTGTGGGAATCGGTGGGTCCCCTGCCTGCTCGAGATGGTTGAGTTAGAGCCCCTGAGGCCCACCGGGGGTCCAGGATTCTGCCCTGGGAGATCCCAGAGGGATGAGTCAATGTAAGGAGCTGAGAGGGCTCGACGGGTAGTGAGCACGCTGACGCCCAGAACAGCACCTGTATGCAGAAGCACCCAGCACTCGTTTTCTTCAACGAATGGCTGAGAACCTTGGACCCAGGCTCGGCTTCCCACAACTCTACCAACGTCTATCCCAACGACTTCCCCAGCCTGAGTTATTCCTTCCATCTCCCCCCCCCCGGACCCCATCCACTAGTTTTTAAATAGTCTATGTTGGGGTCTCAAACAATGGCCCGAGGGCCAGATCTGCTTACGCTATAGGCTCCACCTATTGTTGTTCTCTTTTTAAGAAATACCGAATTTTAATGCATTAGGCAAAGCAGGTTTTACTCCCTTTGCCGCAGTTGGTACCCCTCCTGCTGTGTTGCACCTGGCAGCTTCCCACATTTATTATCTGCCCAACCCCTGAAGGCATCTCAGTCTGGAAGCTCTGTGCTAGCCCCACCGTCCTGTCTCGTGAATGGGGAAGACGAGAGGTGGGGGCTCCTGGGTTAATGGGATGCTAGGTTACCTGAGGTTGGAAGAGTCCCGAGGTCCCTGAGGTCTGCCCTTCAGATCTCTGCTCCGATATCATTTCCCCAGCGAGGCCTTCCCCGATCAGCCGACGCAAACAGCACCCCACTCCCTCTGCCCCTCTACCCTGCTTCACTGGGTCTCATTACCTCCTGACGTCCCAATCTCTGTCCTGCAGTGTCTTCCCTGTCTCTCTTGCTACTCTGTATGTCCCGTGAGGGCAGGGACTTGGTCTTATTCACCGCTGTATCACCCGTGCCAAGAATAATGTCTGGCGCACGGCAGGTGCTCGAAATGATTGTTGGAGAATGGGGAAAATGCATCCCCGGACCTGGTAGCAACAGCACTGGACATCCTCCCTGCTGCAGTGCCCCGGGCTGTTCCGGGGGCATCCTGGAGTCGTGCTAGGGTCCCACGGTCACCCAGTAGCTGACAGGCCTCTCCCTTTGCGAGGGGCTGTGTTTGAGGCTACCCCGGGCAGGTCCTCCCAGCTGAAGGTTCTACCTGCCAGAGGGGAGGGGGTAATGATGTCATTCAGGCCCCCCACCCCTGCTCCTCCCAAATTTGACCAATCAAGCCTGAGATTCCAAGTTCAAATAGACGACAGCATGGGCGTACAGGATGTGCCTTTTTGTGGGTTGTGGGCAGGGCAGGGACCCAGGCAGGCCATGGTGTCTGAAGGGACATGTTCTCAGAGCCGGAGGAAACAGGGATGGGGGCAGGGAAGCCCAGAGCAGGAAAATCTTCTTCTTCTTCTTCTTTTTTTTTTTTTTTTAAGATTTATTTCTTTGAGAGAGAGAGAGAGAGAGAGCACGCGGGTGCACACAGAAGGAGAGGGAAAGGGAGAAGCAGACTCCCAGTTGAGCAGGGACCCCGATGTGGGACTTGATCCCAAGACCCTGGGATCATGACCTGAGCCGAAGGCAGATGTTTAACCAACTGAGCCACCCAGGCGCCCAGTCTCCTCATTTTTTCTTGAAGAGAGACTTCATTTTTTTCTCCAATAGTAAAAACATTTGCTTACCAAAACTTTCAAACAATACACAAAAGCATAAGGAAGAAGATAAAAACAAAACAAAACAAAACAACAACAACCCTGAGGTTCTGTCTCTCAGGGATCCAGTCAACAATTAAGAGCCAATCCAGGGTCACATGGCCTGGGTTCAAATCCTGGCACAACCGCTTTCCGGGGTCAGATTTCGAGGGGGTCCCTTAGCTTCTCTGTGCCTCACTTTCTTTGTCTGTAAAATGGGGATGCACGATGTTCCTCCCAGGCTCTCTGCCCACTCTCTGCGACTCCCTCCCTCTTTCCTCTGGCCCCGAGAACCCTTAAGCCACCATGACCTGCCCGGGCCCCTGCCCCACCCACAACCCGCAAAAGGCACATCCTGTACACCCACGCTGTCTTCTATTTGAATTTGGGTTCCCGGCTTAGTTGGTACCGGCCACCTAATATTGTGGGGAGGATTAGGTGGGTGATGACGCGGAAGGGGCTGAGAACAGTGCCCGGCACACGGTCAGCGCTAGACAGGTGTCTGCTAGCATCTCCTCGCCATTGTCACCATCATCACCGTCATTTTGCAGAAAGCTCTTCATCACCAACCTGCACTCTTCCCTTCCTCCCTTTTTCCCTTGCGTCCGTCCATCTGCCCATCCGTCCATCCGTCCTTCTCTAATGGGAATATTCCCATGTGCTCTCTGCGAGCCTGCTTCTTACACTCCGCATTAATTATATATGAAGCAAATGGCTCAGGTTCTGGTTACTGGGGGTGGGAACTGCCGTGCACCCCCAGAGCGTTGTGTTGCTAGGCTCTGTGTCCACGGGGGGTAAACCTAGACTTTACGTCAGTGCCATTGGGTGTAAAGAGCTTTGCAGATGGAGAACATTTGCCATCGGATGTGTTGGCCCTAAGGAAGACGTTTCAGGAAGATCTTCCAAGTGAAAAGTAACCACATAAATGCTTATACCATTTTTATGTTTCCTGTCTTCCTCCTCGGGTGGGAGGTTCCCGGAGCAGGGACGGTGTCCCCCTCCTGCCCCGCCAGACCGGCAGTTCCCCAGGCAAGGGTGCTGCTCCTTTCCCCCTCTCTCTTTGCCGTCCTTCCCACCCCAGACCTGTGGACAGCGGCTGTCCTGGTTGCGCATCCTGATCCTGCCCCGTGCAGTGGCTGCCCGTGAACGAGAGGGCCCTGTGGCCCAGGGGACATTGAGGGAACTCCCCTCCTCCTCCTCCTCAACGCCCACTGTGAAGGGAGCCAGGCACCTGTAAAGGGTTGCTGTCCTCACCGGTCTACTAGACACTTCCTGTCTGGCCAGGAGCCCCCTGCCCACCCTGCCCACCCCCAGCCTTCCCCGTCTCTCTGATGACAGCTCTATCCTTCCAGCTGCTGCAGGTCCAAGCACTCCCATCCTCCCCGACTCCCCCCTTTCTCTCGAGCCCCCACACCCAGCCTGCCTGCCACCCTTCCCAGCCCGGACCTCTGGAGATGTTCCGAATCCAAGCGCTCCTCCCCATGCTCACGGTTGCCCCCAGGACCAAGCCACCATCGTCTCAACTCTTATGGTGGCTCCCAGAATGTCAACGCCATCAGAGCAGGGACTGTGGTCTGTTTGCTTCTTGGCTGCGTCCCCATCGCCTAAAGGAATGCCTACTGCACAGCAGGTGCTCCGCGAACGCTTGTCAAGTGAGCAACCGGGATTCCACGACACCCTGAGAACAGGCGGGGCTGCAAAGAAGGGATTTTGAGGAAGGAATCAGCCCTCCCCCAGCCCCTTGCTCTGAACTCCTTTGGAGCTGCCCTCCCCACTGGCCGGCTAGGGGTGTTCCCCCGGGCGGGGGGGGGGGCTTCTGCTGCCATCTCTGGAGTTGGGGCGCAAAGCTATACCCTCACCTTCTGGGGGTGGTTTAGTTAGTCAGGAGGACCTGGGTGTCCACCATGGCTGTCCCACTTACTGACAGTGGATCCTCTTCCCTGTAAAATGAGGATACTGGGAAGAGTGGCGAGCATTTGTTTTAGCCGATGCTAGGTGTCGGGCACTGTGCGAAACCTTTTACGCGTTAGCTCACGCATCCCCACATCAGTCCAATGGAACGGGTACAACTGCCATCTCACGGCCGGGAAAGGGAGCCACAGGAAGCCCAAGGTCATAGGTTGTGAGAGGCCGAGCCGGGATTTGAACCCCGGAGGTCTGACTGCCCTGTGCTTTGGATGCATGAGATCAGATCTGCACCGGGCACTTTATCAGGCCTCAGAAAGTGCTGACATCATGATAGTGAGGGTTCACGCGCCAAGAGTCTGAGGATGGAGTCAAAGCTAGGGAAGGAGAGACAGGGCCCACAGGGAGCTTCTGGTGGCAGCTGAGCCCTGCTCCACTGGAGCCCCCGACTGAAGCCTCCGCTTCCCATCTCTCTGAGAGACCTGGGGCGCCTCCTCCCCTGGTCTCCTGGATTGGCAGGCCTGAGTGAGAGGGCTGGGCATGCAGCCAGGAGGTGGGGACTCAGCTTAGACAGCTAATCAGGTCACAGGGTGAAATTAAAAGGGAGGAGGAAAGCACCGACCCATCAGAACGCACCCTCCTTCCGGGCCACCTGGTGCCCAGGAGAGGAACTGGGGAGATAAGAAGTGCAGAGCCCAGGACCCAGGGGCACGGGATGGCCCCGCAGAGACCTGTGCGGCTGTCCCTGAAGAAGCCCACCTATGCCGTGTGTGTGGTGGGGGTTGAGACGTCTGTGGACGTTTACAGGTGAGAATTGAGAGGTACCCACCTGGCTGCCGAGGGCTGGGCCACACCGGAGGACCCCGAGGCCATGGGGTGGGTTCCTGGTGGACAAATCGAACACGTTGGAGGGTGCTGGTAGGTGGGTGTTCTGAGAGCCGAGCAGGTGGAATGGGATGGAGAGCCTGGGTATCAAGGAGGAGCTAGGGTATCAGGCCCGTCTTGGGGCTCCTTCTCTCCCGGGTACCCGGGGTCAGGTCTTTGGCCGCAAGTCCCTGGGTAAGGGTTCTAGTTCTGAGCCCCGGGCTCTGCGTTCTGACGTCAGAGAGCAACTGGTTGCGACATCAGAATGAACTGGTGCTCAAGACGGGGAGCAGCACCGGGCCTCCCTGAATTTCTCCCTCTGTTTCTTGCCAACAACCCTTCTGTCTGAGGTAGAGGTGTGGGGTGTGTGACAGCTCGATCCTTGGAGGCCGGCCAGGGTGATTGGGATCAGGAGCGAGTCTCAGAGGGATGATTCAAGGAGTTAATAAAGGACAGGAACCTAGAACAAGACCCGGGCTTGTTTTTGCCACGATGATGATGGTGTCGGCGGTGAGGGGAGCCATGGTGACATCTGAGGGGCCCCAGAAGAATCAGCTTCCCCTGTTGGCCCAAGTCTCTGACCTGTCCTGGCTCTGCCCAGACGGGGGCCCAGGGACCTGGCCTGGTCTCATTTTCCCCACCTGGCCACGGAGGGAGCTGGAGTTGGGGATCTCGGGGGGCTTTTCCAGCTCTGATACTCTCTCTGGACTCCATCCTGTCTGGAACTGTCTAGGGACTCCATTCCTGCTGGATCAGAGGGCACTGGAGCCCCAGCAGATGAGGGGCTCAGCGTGGGAGTCCCCGTCTCAGAGGAGGTGGGGGCTGGGGAGTCTGTCACAAGGTGGGATCTGAGCTCCCACTGCCTCTTGGGTCTCAGTTCCTGTGCTGTCCCAGTCTGGTTGAATGGCCTGGGGTCCCAGTGACAGGGCTGAGGAGGGGGAACCAGGACGCTTGGAGGCCAGACCTTGGCTCTGAGTCCTATCGGGAGCCCTGGCGTGGGGCTGGTTCTCTCGGATCTGGGTGGCCAGCCGAGGTCCCATTTTCTCCTCTCCTTTTAACATGGTGTTTCCCAGGCTTAGCAAACGGGAAAACAGGATACCCAGTTAAGTATGCATTTCAGCTAAACATCAAATAATGATTTTTAGTATGTCGTATGGGACATACTTAGTTTTTAAAAACCACTGCTTAGCTGAAATTCAAATTTAGCTGGACATTTGACTATATCTGGCCACCCGGCTTTAACACCAAGGGCAGGGGGGAGGGGTCACTGGTGGGCTCCCACTGTCCCGATTCCAGACCTCTGCTCTCATCCCGGGGGGTGGTTGTTTCTGGAAGGTCATTTCAGAAACTTAGGCCCTAAATGGTGCTGCTGACTAAGGCCAGAAGCATTTTCCTGGGAGCCAGGAGACACAGGTTCTGATCCTAACTCTGCTGCTGACTTGCTGTCTGGCATCGGCCGAGTCACTGGCCCTCGCGGGCCTCATTCCTTATCTGAGCCTCGACAGGGTGAGCTGAGTCCCGTCTTGAGTTCAGCGTGGGGGGTCAAGTGCCCAGATTCTGGAACTGGACACATGGGGCTTCTCATCCTAGCTCCGTTTGTGGCTGTGTGACCCTGGGCAAGCCACTGTCCTGCTCTGGGCCCTGGCGTCCTCATCTGACAATAGCACCGAGCTTAATGGGGTGGGAGGGAATAAATAAGACCCTGTGTGTGCAGGGCCCCTGGAAAGTGGAGGAGGTGCTCACAGCTCCGACGGTTCTGCGGGCCCCCTTTTTCCAGTACCTGTCCCTCCCGTCACGTCTCAGAGGGTGGGACAAACAGAGGACAGATGAGGCTGTGTGTGTGGTGGGAGCGGAGGGCAGTGCTGTCTGGGAGCCCCCTTTGGGATCACCAAGCACCGCAGCATCCTCCGATTCGGGCCCTGGCCCAGCTGGAGAGGGCGAGGAAGCTGCCTGGGTTGGCCACAGCTGCGGTGCTCTGGTTGACTCTGGAAGGGGGTGCCCCTTTGGGGTCCTGAGTGAGCATTTTGAGAGACCCCCACTCAACAGCCCTTTGGGAGCCTTCATCCTGGGCATCGGTCTTGACTAGGGACGTAAGTACTGAGGGTCTCTAAACTAGAAAACAGAAGTTTATTCTGCAGCAAGTTGGTTTAGAAGTAGACGTAAGGAAGAGCTTCCCGTCCATCCGGTCTGTGATAGGTAGAGAAGGGGGCATGGAATTCTCAGCCTGGGAAGGTTTGAAGAGGGGCCTGAAGGTCACCCAGGGCTTGGGATGGCCAGGATGATGAACTTGGGGCTCCTCTACCCCCATTGCCAGGTGTCTGGCTCCAGCTGAGGCCAAGCAGCGGGTTTCTACTTAACCTTGCTGATAGAGGGGGAAATCACCCCCCCAAAGAGGAGGTTTGCCAGTATCTGAGCTGCCAGGAGGTTAAGTCCCCCCAGGAGAGCCAGTGGGGGTGGGCATGTGGGGTGATGAATTTCCCCCAGGTGCTGTGTGGACCGTGTAGAGAAATATTTGTGTTTGGGGTAATTGTGTGCCCCAGCCCAGGGAACCCGTAGAAGTCCCCTAACCCAGGATGTGCTATAGATTCCCCGCCCCGCCAACTCTGATGGACTAGCTCCCCACCCTGACCCGTCACCTTAGCAAACTTGCTCTCTGTCCTGACCCTCCGGGTCTGGTCACACCGCCCTGGTTTTCCCTGTCCTTGCTTGGAGGTGGCCCCCAGAGGACGCATGTCAAAAAAAGGGGGGGCAGTGTGGGGAATCCACTCGTGGTGCAGTCTGGCCCTGTTTGCCCAGAGGCCCGAATCAGAGCCCCAGGCTAGAGGCCATAATGGATGTTTATTCTCTGGCACGGAGGAGAAGGCTGGCTGGGTGGGGGACAGAGATCCTCCTGGATCTCTCCCAAGCCTCCCCCAGCCATGCAAAAGCATCAGAGCAAAACAGACTCTTCTGATCAGATGGGTAGCATTTGGGGCGTCCAGGGAGGAGGGACTCTGGGGGGCCTCTCTGAGGAGCCAGAGAGAGGCTCCAGGCTGCTGCTTTTTCCTGGGGTTCTGTGTATTTCAAACAAGGAAAATGCCAAAACAGAGTTATAAAACCTGTGGTGTATATATTCTTAATGTTTACATTGAGTAAATTGATGCTTTTAACGTGCGCAGAAGTACAATGAAGCATAATTGTGCTGCTCACAGGATAATTATAGGATTGCTGCAGACACTAATTGGTAATGACTGACAGACTCCGAGAGCCGGGCCGGACCCGGGTTTCAAAGCCGGGTGAGGACCATCTCTCTTCCTGGCTCCATCCTGGGCCGCACCGCATTCCTTCATTAGAAGTAATGTTATGGTGTAAATGTGAGGTGCTTGGAGACCATGCGGCCAGGGTCCTCCCCACGCGCAGTGGGGTCTGGACATGGAACGGTGCAGTGTGTGTTCGTGGGACAGCAAATGTTGGCATCAGGGCAGATCTCCGAGGTCAGCCACTCTTTAATCCTACAGGAGTCCCTGCCTCCCTGGTCCCCCTGGCCACCTGCCATTTGAGACCAGGGGCCCTTCCCAGCCAGTTGCTCTGTCCTCCCCTTCCTGCCCCTCCCATCATTTCCGGTCTTGGAACCGATCCTCATTCTTCACCTTTGGTTTCCCTTCCAGCTCCCATCACGGCCAACCTCCAGCTGTCCCTTCTCCCCCAGTCCTTGCCCTTCCTCGCTCGGTGGGCCCACCAGCTGGGGACCCCGAGAGAGCACTTGAGGCGCTGGGAATGGGAGGGCTGCCCACAGGTGAGGTAGATTCCTCCCGACCCCAAGATGCTCTCCGAGTGACATGTTGTCCTCAGCTTTGCTCCGTCCAGAGAAGCTTCTACTCCTTTCTCGGTGGCTGCTAAGCAGCTGTTTAGCTCTGTCAAGTGGTCCTGAGGCTCGAAGATGTGGGTGGGCTGTGGGGCTAGAAGGATCTGGCAAATCCTCACCCAGCCGAGAACGTCAGCTACCGGGGGAGCCCAGGAAGGGGGGGGCCTCAGCTGTGGGCCTGGACAGGTGCCATCCAGACAGTGTGTGGGCGCCTGGCCCTCAGAGCTGTGTTCGGCCCTCCAAATGCCCCGGAGAAGCCAGTCACCCTGCATTGGAGTCCAAGGCCCCTTGAAGCCCTAAAAGTGCTCCAGCCCCATTGATGACCCCGCCAACCCCCAGCTGGGTCATGGGCACTGTGCTGGCAGAGGTGGGCTGAGGCAGGGTTGAAAACTCCACAGTCGTACCCTGCAGAGGGTGCAGCTGGTGCGGCCTAAGCCGGGCTGAGCCAAGGAGGCTGGGCCCAGGTTGCTCACCTGGGATGGAAGCCTGGGCACCCTCCTCAGTGGGGCCCTGAGGAGGAAGCCCTGTGGGGTTGGGGCCACCTGAGAGTCAACGCACTGACTGCTGAGACCAGGGTGGCTGGTAATCATGACCTCTCGCTGGGGGTCAGGCTTGTCCTTGCAGGCTGTGTGACCTTGGGCCAATCGCTTAGCCTCTCTGTGCCTGTTCCGCCCCTGCAAGTCGGGGATAGCATTGTTTGTTGTTTCTACCTGTGGCCTTGGCCCCCATTTTGCAGATGAGGAGTTTCATCACCCATGAAATGCATATGCACAGGCATGCTTTTCTTTCTACGGATGGGGAGCCTGTGGGTGAGAGGGAAGAAGTGACTCACAGGTGACTTCCCATCCACAGCTCTTGGGTCCTCGTGCAGGGAGGTTCTGGTCCCCGGCCCCCGTGTGCCTCTGCTCGGGAGGTCTGCGGCCTGAGAGCTGCTGCCCCTCCTCTCCAGCCCCCACTCCCAGGAAGAGCAGGGGTCCGCTTGAAAGGTCTGCCTGGCCTGGGCCCTCCTTCCAGGCCCTGGGTGTGCCCCTCCCTGAACAATGACAGGGCGTAAGCTACCCAAGATTGTTATCTCTGGGAAGGAAGGAAAGAAAGAGAG